TCTCCACCCCCGCCCCCCGACGACTGAGAGAAATAGTCAATACGAGAACTTCGTTTTTGACCCCACTTTATAATTGCGCTCTTTCACACAGATCGATATTTCCATTTATAAATGCCATTCAGATTATAGGAAGATGCTATCCTGTAATCACAATGAAAAGTAGTATTGGAAGTATCGATTTTGTGATAAAACGCGATTATAACTTGGGTCAAAAAGGGATGGACGGGCTTGGCTGCAACCGATACCATGGCGTGTATTGTTATTGACGGCTACCATAATTATGTGAGGCCTCATGGTGGAATCGGGCGCTCGTCAAAATGATGAAATCAAAGAAATCGGCAATTTTTTCACTCATGGGCAATTTTCTTCTAGTTTCTCAAGCTATGGAAGTTACCAAACTGTTGCGGCCATTTTCTCGCGAATTTGACCTCTGAAACCAGGCGACCACGACCTCCTACAATCACAACATTTCCGACTTCTATTCGATGTAGACGGAATTTCTTTTTCACTCAAAGGAAGGCAGATGAACAGGCTTTAAGACGATACCAATAACCCCATTTGCCCAAACATTGACGCCGAGCGCCTGATTCCACCACGTCGGGAAACATTTTCATAGTACAAATGTTGCTGTCTATGTGTTTAGTTTTAGTACGAACTTTACGGGACTTGCAACACAAATTCAAACCAACCAGCTCTGAGGGAAAACAGCATCACATAATATTCTGGCTGGAGAGCCAGAGGAAGACCAAGATGACACTGGAGCAAATCTGTAGCAGAAACCCTCAGAGGTCACGGGATGTCCCTCCTACAGGCCACTCGCCTTGCTGCAGACAGACGTCTTCTGTGTCTCCTCGCGACACCCACCGGTACAAGCGGTAGAAAAAGTAAAATAATTTATGTAAGTGCCGAAGATTAGAGGTGTTACTACAGAATAACTTGCACAGAAAAGAAGGAGGAGAGATAAGGACGACAGATGCTTCATTGGAAGTAAGAGGCAGACGACACCAGGGACCAGGACACCCGCCGACCAC